TTTTGCTTTTCAAACGACCTATGACAGTTTTATTGGTTCAGAAAGCTTGTTTGCTCATTGATTATTAAATTCAATTCCACAGCTTTTGTGACAGGATATTGATGCGAAAAGACGTATTGGTGTGTTCAGTTGATGTCTGGATTAAGGAATAACGTTGAAACGAAATTACTTTTTTAAAAGCTATTTTTATCAATAAAGTCGCTTTATTTTTCATGTTAACAAAGAAATAATATTTCTAAGTGTTTAAGCAAAAAATATTTTCGTGTTTAATAAAATCCAATTATAATGCGGAACTTACCTAAAAAAAATTATTATTAATTTTGATAGACAATGGAAAATAAATAGACACGTATTTTTTTTCTTTTTTTCGTACGTTGAATATTGACGGAATTTTTTTACGGAAGTTAATCACCACGACCTTATAGATCTATTGTCTCATCATACAGTCTCAGGACTTTAACAAAAACCAGTATCTGAGACGGTTTTACAGAGGTTAGTTCTCCATCTCCGATGTCAGTCATACGTTTATGACACGAATGGTTGTCGTCTCAGCGCACTCAGTAATCAGGTGTTCCGTCTTTACCCATTTTCCCCACAGAAGAGTCCTGTTAAAAACTCCGTGACAATCCAAAGAATGTCCTTACTTAAATCAAGGAAAATCTGTGATTCTTCACGGTCGTAATTCCTGAAAAACTTCTTCGAGTGTCTTAGACCTTTAAAGGATTCCCATTCCAGGTTATGGATGGAGTCTTTCAGGTTCTTGAATTACCCTTTAGTTGGTTTCTGCTTGGGAACCAGAACGGTTCTAGTCCAGTTAGTGGGAATGTCCGCTCCTTTTTTAGGATTCCTAGAGCTATAGCTAGACATCAATCTAACTTTAAAAAAAAGAGAGCTCCTATCTCGACTTCATGAAAAAACATGTCGAACACGCTTGTTTGCATATTCCAAATTGCCGAGTGTCAAATATTGCTTATTATTTTACAATATTTTAACAATAAATGAAAATGGTACACTCCCACAAGAAGTCTTTTGCGTATCTATGTTTGGAAAAATATCTAGAATGAAAAACAGAAACATGTTTTCATGTTTCAGGTTTCAGTTCTAAAATTGAAAAACTGAAAATTATGCATTTCCGCAAAAAAATTGTGACTTTTTATTTGAAAAGGCAGAAAAGAATCAGAAAAAAATACTAAATAAACAAATATTTCTTATATAAATGGTTTCAGCTGAAGAAAAATTGAACCACCAAGAATCCTACATAATAAATCACGAAAAATTGGTACAATATTTATTAAGAATTCGATTTTTCACGGACAAAGCGAGAACCCACACGTACTCGACTACAGCTATCCGTTTTCCCGATTGCAATCCATTTCTCCACACATCATTACTCCTGATAAATTAGCAGGTGGATGCGTTTTATCCTCCGGGATGCCGTGTTCATCAGTTGATGGACTCCTGGGAATCGTGCGGAAATATCGTTCTTGCTGGATCCAAGCTGGAGCTGCTCACTTTCCGCTGTTTCTCGATAAGTTTCGGGGGAATATATATAAAATCCATAACAAATTTTCAGTTTCCTCTCCCAGAAAGCATGCATTTCCTTATTTTTTATATCCATCCGTTGTATTTTGTATGAAAATGAATAACAGAATAATATTTATTATTGAATTTTTGAAAATAATATTGAAAGATTTTTTCCCCATTTCCAAGTTGTCATCTTCTAACTTGTATTCCGAAACTTGGATCCAGCAAGAACGATATTCTTAGTCTTAGGGCTTTAACAAAAGCCAGTATCTACGACGGTTTTATATAAATTAGTTCTCGATCTCCGATATCAGTCGTACTAAAGTTTATGGCACGAATGGTTGTCATCTCGGCGCATCAGTGATGAAGTGTTTCAGCGTTTCCCCATTTTCCCAACAGAATCTGCATTCACCGTTGTTCCTAAGCTTCAATCTCCTGAGGTGTTCACTGAGGAGACAGTGTCCTGTTAAAAAACCGTGAAAATCCGAAGATTATCCTTACTTAATTCAACTTCCTCTAGAAGATGCGAGACCTAGCCATTGGTGGGGAAGCTACTAGTCAGGTGCTAGGGGGTATCCTCTCTAGTACTTTGGCTGGGTCTAAGGAACCTCTCACTGCGTGATTAGATAGAAGACTAGCTTCTACTAGGTGCGGGGCTCTGTGTGGAAGTGTACCGACTAACCCTTTCGGTGTATCACCAGCTTTGCCGCCAGAACTCATGTCAATGTCAGGACATCGAGTCGGTGAGTTATCAACTCGAAGGAGGAGGGACATGGTCAGATCCTCACAATAGGTTGTGGGCTACAACCTCAGATCAGGAGGTAATAGAGAAAGAAAGATATATCCGCCGGGACGAGAGATATAGATCCGGGACAACATCGGTATCAGGTCTAAGGAGATACCAAGTTAGCAGAAAAAATGGAGACAGATCCTCCAATCGTGGAAGGAACTCGTGGAAAATAGATGTTCACTCCTCGGAGGATGGAGAGCTGTTGTCATAGGAGGATGGAAAAACCTCTGTCCCCCCTACAAGAGGAAGATTCCCATGTATGATGAGTAGACTGTATGATGCGTTATAACTCAAGAAAGGGAGAAAGGCACAATAGATCTTTAAGGCATATATCAGAACACACAGTTATAAAATTCGCCTGGATGCGGGTCCCTATCAAAAACTCAATTTTATCCATAAAACTTATTAAATTTAACCTTAGATTAACAATAGAATTTAACCGTAAAACAAGTCGAAAGTTCTGAAACCCATCGAAAATTTTCCGAAGTGCAACGACTTTTATCTAGCATTCGTCACATTAAGGTTGATTCTCACTATACCTTCCGTTTCCATTCCATATCCATTCCATATCCGTTCCGTATTTTGTATTGTATTGACGCTATACGTAAGCTTCCTTTGCGTATCAGTTCCATACTTTTTATTGTACAATTTTTAAAAAAGAGAACCAACCACTGGAACTTTTCTGGGTTTTCTTTCTTGTAAATTTAATCTACTATTTATGTTGCCATATTATCAAGAAATTATGTTTGTTAACTAAAAAAAAATCCAAAATTTGTTTCAAAAAAAAAATCGGGATAAAAACCTCATAATCGTGTTTCTGGGGTCAAAATATACTACGCCTAAAAATATTTGCACTTATTTAAGACTCACCCTGTATAACAATGCCTTAAAAAGTAAAAACGAATAGCAGGAAAAAAAGAAACAAAAAATATTATTCGTAGTTTTATAAAAATATAAAACCCACAGAAAATTAGTGTTGCTTTACAAAAAAAAACATTTTAGAGTCTGTCAGACTCCGTGTCAGCAAACGAACAAATAAAATAATAAAGAAACCAAGTTTAATATTCATAACGATACTCTTGATGTAACGTACCGTCTGATCACAACACTTTTTAGATATCAAGATTAGGGCATATGCCAGAACGCACGGTTATAAAATCCGCGTAGATGTGAGTCCCTATTAAAAACTCAATTTTATCTATAAAACTTCTCAAATTTAACCGGAACGCGCCTTCGAAAAGATAAAACCCGATAAAAACTTAAAACAGGCCCAAAGTTCTGAAACCCATCGAAAGTTTGCCGAAGCGCAACACGACTTTTATCTGGCATTCGCCACATTATGCTGATTTTTCCGTCTGGCAAGAGCGAGTGACGCCGTCGGTACTGGATGACGGCAATGCCGACGTCCTTACCAACTTTTGATAAATAGAATTTTCACTTATGAAATCCGAAAATATATTCACAGTATCCTTTCAGTTACGAAAATTGCCATTTCTTAAATATTCTTTAAAAGTTTATTTAATACAGCGCAGCGCTTAAACTACTTATCGGTCATAGTTATCGGTCTTATGGGTGTCTATTATATTATTTGAAAATATACATTGTGGTCCGAATTGTATTCGGGAAACTTCGGCAGCATATTCTGCAGATAAAAATATGCAAAAGAGTTCGTACAAATGTATGTCCTAAAATGCTTAGTTCTGGACATACAGGGTGTAGAAGTTTCATTTTTATTTCGATTTTTTTCCAATTAACTTTTTAGTTTTTTGATATGAAACATTTGATTTTGATGTCAATATTGACTCCTGCTTGTAGATGGCGCCACCAACATTTTTTTAACAAGTTTGAAATATAATAAATTTTCGTTCGTACCTGCATAAAACTACTGAGTAAAAACACATTTCTGCCGTTTTTTGCGTAAAAAGTCTCTTGGTAAAAATCGCTACGAGCCACCGTCTGTGCCACCATTTTCAAGATATTTGGAATCGAATTAATCAATACATGTCATAATTGGCATAAAATAAACATACCTATTGACTAGATAGTTATTAGACAGAAATAATAAATTTATAATGTGTTTGTGTAAAAAAAAAATTATGATTTGATCATAAATCAATAATGACATGTATTAATCTTGATCAATAATGACATATAATATTGACTCTATCTATTCCTAATATCTTATGAACGGTTGCTACGATTTTTACCAAGAGAAATGTGTATTATTCACTCTGTAGTTTTATATAGGTACGTAAAAAAAAGTTATTACTCTTCAAAACAGTTAAAACATGTAGGTCCCCATGTCCCCTACATGTAGGCGTCATTTTGACATCGAAATTAAATTTTTCACGTCAAAAAAACACCCAGATATAAATTTTCATCCAAATATCGACCTTAGTTCAGAAATTATTTAGAAAAAATCGAAATTTAAATGACACTTCTGCACCCTGTATTTCCAAAACTAAGCATTTTATCTATATATTTTTAGGAACGTTTTAATTTATTTTTACCTGCAGAATATGCTGCCGAACTTTTCTGAATACAATTCGGACCACCCTGTATATTTTTAAATAAAAGACACTAAATATAAACTGTTAATGAATATTTTAGAAGTCGCAGTTTTTGTAACTCAAAAGATCCTCTTTCTTGTATATATTCACCTTTCAATCAGATTATCTATAGTTACCTGATATTGTAGTGGTTCTTTAATTATCGTACACACACTTGCCTCAAATAAAAAAGCGCACTATTCAAAGTAAGAAACCTGCGTAATTCAAATCACAAGAAAAGATTCGACACAACTCAAACCAGTTTCATTCACAAAAACCGTCTAGGCCACTATAGAGTAATAGTACCCACTATCAACGGCATCGTAAATTCACCGGTCCATTCAAGAGGGTGAGAAGAAGAAAAAAAAGTATATCGGCAAAACAGCGCACCAAGCTCGTCGATCCTTTCTCGCGGTCCTTCGAGCCAGATCGCCGCTACGTGAATCTGTCTCCGATTCTCCTAACTACGGCAACCTGTGTCGTGGTGTAATATACACAGCAACCTGACGAATACCCGAGCGCGACTGAAAATGCAGCTTCCAGCAGCCCTTGGCGCTCGCCAATTTCTCACCCTCTCTCTGTTGCACGGCGCCGCGGCGCTACTCCGTCCTCGTCTAGCTCCGTGGACGGATACGGGGGGTTGCGCGCGGCCAATTTTACGCAATCATAATAAATATGTTTGGGTGGGCGGTTTGAGACGCTTTCAGGGGTGGGTGGAGGTTAGGTGTAACAAGTAGCTACGCCAAGATACAAAGGAGAGTCTCAAAGCGGGCGCGATACACAGGAGAGGGAGGATGCTAGTGATGTACGGTAGTTGCCGTACAAAATATAGTATAGGGCCTCGATAATCCAAACACTCAAAATGTTCACCCTGTTCGGATTATTGTATTATAGTTCATTTTATCCTTATCCGATAGTCAAACAGCTTAAAAAGCTATCAAATCAGTAACCATCAATTCGAAGTTGGTCAAAGAATGCCTAGAGAAGCTGAACAAATTAGGCAAAGTCAATAAAACCCCCCTACGGGTGCTAACCCGCCAAAAGATAGAAGGCAATGAAAAAACAAACGATCCAGCTAGAAAAGGAGCGAACACTCCACTAACTGGATCAGAACCGTTCTGCTTCCCAAGTGGAAAACAAATTAAAACACAACTCAAATACCTGGAAGACTCCATCCAGAACCTGGAATGAGAACCCTCAAACCCGGCCTAGGACACTCAAAGAAATTTCTCAGGATTTACAACCGAGAAAAATCTTCGGATTGATACGAGGTTTTTAACAGGACACATCAATGAACACCTCAGTAGATTGAAGTTAAGAGACAATGGCGAATGCATATTCTGTGGGGAAAATGGAGAAATACCAGAACACCTCATCACTGAGTGCGCCGAGACGACAGCCATTCATGCCATAAACCTTGCTACGACTGATATCGGAGATGGAGAACTAACCTCTGTAAAACCGTCTCAGATACTGGCTTTTGTCAAAGCCCTGAGACGGTATGATGAGTTATAAACTGAAGAAAATCCGGACACGAAAAAGTAAAACGCGGACGCGACGCTCGACGCTCTCAGCCTGAATGTACCTTTAAAAGATTTTTGTAATCTCTAGGATCTTCTAACTGTAGATATTATACAGGGTGAGTCTTAAATAAGTGCAAATATTTTCAGGGGTGGTATATTTCGACCCCATAAACAGGTCTATGAGTTTTTTTCGAAAAAAAAAGATGTTGAAAATCGTGAATTTTCTTTTAAATTTCCTTGTATATTTTTCGAAAACTTTTTGGAACTGCCTGTTCCGCGCAAATTTTCCCACAGTATAATTTCTTAATCTCTAATATTACCAATGTTACGGCACTCTATGGTTACGGCACAACAAGGGATGCAAATACAGAAAAAATCTGGTGGCTCTCAAAATTTTTTCAAAAAATAATATTTTTTTTTTATATTTTCATACTTAAGTAACTCGGTTATTTTGGACTTATCTGAAAAATGGTAAATAGAAAATATGTTTCTGTTATCGAGATCTACCAGCCCTGAAAATATTTGCACTTATTTAAGACTCACCCTGTATTATTAGATGTACAATAAGTAGATCTGTAGTTACTCCATTTCCTGTTTTTCTTCTTTTACGTGTATAGTTCGTTTACATAATAAACTTTCCGTTAATTCGATTGCCAAAATTTTGATAAATGAAGTAAGGCCTTATGCAGTGTCGCCATTTTGAATCAATGAACAGAAGCTTTTGGACATGACATCTGTAAATTCGGAATATGCTTCCAAATCACTTGAATTTAAGTGACATGATCAGTTCAAAAGACTCACGTAAACGCGCCTTTATTCTTTGTAACTTTTTTTTTGAGGTTCAAGTTAACGTCTCCTTTCTGCTGCAATGGCTAAACTGGACGGGACCTACGCGGAATCCGAACCGCGGTCCTCGGCCATATCATGGTCAATGGCCTACCGACTTAGGAAGTGTCTAAATTAACTCTTACTCACGAGATATCCGATCTCATCCGGCCTTGAACCGGCGTGAATGAGCAGTGTGTATCAATAGATTTTACACTTTTCCCTTTTGGACAACAGCACGATGCAAAGTTTCGAATCGGTCACCCGTCCATCCACTAACATCGCCTTACGTCGCTTAACTTCAGTGTTCTAATGGGAACCGGTGTTTCGACGTAGCTGGGCCGTTGCCCTGAACCTTTGTAACTTCAAAGCTATGCTTCAAACCAACTGATTCAATTCACTTTTTGAGAAGGGAAACGAGAATAAGATAATTTAGCAGATATTAAAATATTCCGACAGCAATAGCAGATACGTATACGCACAAAGGAGCTATCAAAGTAGGTTTCTTGAAATGTAAACGTCAGACGCACGTTCTAGACAAAGGAGCGACGTCCGTCTAGAATAAGAACCGTGACAGGCCTAATAAAACCCTCCGTTGTCACAGTTCCTAATTAAATTAGAACTGGCTATTGACTCCGACCATGATACGGTGGGGTTATAAGTTATAATAGAGGGCCCGCTCTACGGAAAGTATAAAAGGAGTCGCGCGGGTGAAGGCAAGAGCGACCCTCGACCACGTCGGTTGCAGAAATTCTCAATTAAATTGTTTTAGCTATTGTGTAGATAAGAAAAGTTTTTAAACAGTAAGTGTTGACTTTTTATCCCGCAAAATCGAAGTATTAAAAAGCGGTTCTGACGACGCGTGTACATTGGTTATTGGCATATACTTGCCATGTCGTGTGATCGGTTTCCTTGGACAATTAAAGCCGGAGTCTCATGCATCCGAAATCCGATGGTACGACATCCGAAATTTGAAGTTATCGTGTGAAATAAAAAAAGCCTGTCACATATATCCGAAAGTTCGTTCCGAAATTTGACAGTTTTGACATTTTTCTGCTGCATTGAATAGAGATTCATGTCATGTTTTATTGGAGAAACACTTATAAAAATAACTTCCTCGCCAAATATCCCGAAATTGCCCACTTCCCATTAAACTTGTTTTTAAAAACCAATGTTTTCAAAAAAAGTGAGGTTAAAAAACACACGATATCGTACAAAAGTTAAACAATATTTAACTTTATACGACGTCGGACGATTAGTTAAAAATATCCGATAAAAATTGGTGTCAAAATATTTCGACCAATAGGAGCACCGTCGGATCGTCGTGTCATCGGATTTCGGATGCATGAGACTCCGGCTTTACTCGTCGTGCAGAAATCGATTCAAGGTCGTTACGCCGATACGCCGATACGCCGTTTCTAGGATAATGTGGATGCACCCTTAAATATCATGTTTTAATTTTCTTCTTAATTTTTTTAACTTAACTGTGATATTTCTTTTAGTAACATATTGTATTTTGTGGTAGTTTCTGTTTTTAGTTTTTGTGAAAGTTTTTTTAAATTCTCTTGGCTGTTCTCTTTATTTTGCTCCTATTTCATAAGAGTGTATTTGTTTGTTAGGTTTCAAAGAAATATTTGATTTCATTAACTTATTTTTGATTTTGTGTAGAAGTCATATAATATTTTATTAATTCTCTTATGTTCAGTTTTTTTTTGTTTTTTTTTTGTTATACTTCCTTTTTTGGTGTTAGTTTATCTACATTAAATATTATTTTGAGTGTTTTCTTTTACTCTCTTTGTAGCATGTTTAAGGGTTTTTTTTTGTTGTATAACCTTACTCGACGTATTAATTAAATAATATATTCCTAAGTGAAATCTATACTAATATATAAAATCCTTAAGTGACTGACATACTGATTAATCACGATCCTGCTCAAACCACTCAACATAAGAAACTCAATTTTGGCATACCGGTTGATTCTAGGGTGCAGAGGTTCGATAAGAAGGGATTTTTCGAAACTCGAATTCTAAGGGGGTGAAACTAATCCCTCAAATATTAAAATATCTTTTATTTAAAAACCGGTGAGTTTTTCGGAAAAACTCTTAAACACGTATATTTTATTTTGTTGTTTTACATATTTTAAGATTTTTTGTAAATTTATACAGGGTGTTTCATAAAATATGACCATTGAGTAACCCCGATTCTGCTTAAACTGCTTGACGTAAAAAGCTTATTTTTGGCAAACGGATTTTTCGAAAGTCAAATTCCAACGAGATGAAACTACCCCTCAAATATTACCAAGTTATATAATAATATCGCCATATTGTTTTTTCTCATGCTGACATAAAAAATGTGAGAAAATTTTATCCAGTTTATGTTAATGGAAATTCTTGCTTTGCTTTATCATCACCATTACAAATGATTAATTCGACGAGAACGAAGTCGCTGATACACGCTAGTATGATATATTGGTTTCTTCATTTTTGATGGCATTTTTAGTTTTATTATGAATTATTTTTAGGAGTCTGGCAGTTGTTCTGGCCCTTTCTTTTTAAACTGTTCATATGCGTATCCCTTGTTAAATTATTATGAATTATAATTCCTAGATTATTACCTTCAGATATTTCTTTTATTTTTTGCTCTTGTATAGTTATATTTTAGTCTTTTGTTTGTTGTTTCATGTTAAATGTTATAAATTCTGTTTTAGATTCATTTATCGTTAGTGAATTTTTGAAGCACCACATTTCAAATTTCTCATAAATAAAATAAATAATGAATTAAATTACTTAAAAGCACCATTTCAGTTTCTAACTACAGAATTGAACTGGACCTAGTTAACAGACCCTCACACATATACGAATATTATATATCAGCATCTAGCCAAAATTTACGTTTTGTGTATTTAGGGCTTGGCCGACTATCAAAAAATCCAATTAAAAGCCCCGCTTACACAGGTGAATATATATTTAAATTCGCTTTAGTTTCCAAGATTAAATCTGCTGCTTCTATGTCAGCAGACCCCGTTTACAATTCGATAATGAACAGGATCTAGCTAGTTATTAATCCATCAGAATATCAATAGAGGGATGCAATATAAACAGTACAAGGTATGGTTCGGATATCTAATATAAAATTTGAAAACTAAGTTGCGAAGCATCAAATGAG